TCCTGCAGGAGAGGCTAGGTAAAGCTGCTGTTTTTGTGCATGAGACTTATGGTTCCTATAAGACAGTGGAAGAACTCTGGGATGGTGAATTATGAAAAGATGCTTGACATTTCTTTTTCCTGGATCTTGATCTTCCATCTCACGAGGCTCGAATTTCTGTTGTTTAGCCTGCTTGTTAGTTGGTTTAGTACTTGATGAATAAATAGCTATTGTTAATTGAGTTTATCCAGCATATTTCAGAAAAGACAATAGTTGATTGTTTAAAGTCCATCCAGAAGGAGCCAAATTTCTCTATTCAATCTTGTTTCACTTTCCCCCTATGAATTGTTTGCTTGTATGTCGTCTAGTTTCAGTTTGGTGAAACAGTAGGCATTAGTTGGAGCTGCGAACACAAAAATGTTTCATTTTGAAGTCCTAATGTTCAAAAGCTACATTAAAAGTCTTTCAAGAGTTTGCAGCTACTTTAAAAGTGTAAGAATATATGAATAGATGTTTCGCATGACATGTAAAAAGTAAATTTAACCTTGATTCGAAACTTAAAATTTGTTTTTTTCATTAATGATTTATAACAAAAGTAAGTTAAAATGACTTTTATTTAGTAAAAATGTTTCATCTTTGTTTTTTTTTTAAATCAAATTCAGTATTATTAGAATAAAAAATTTAAAGCAAAATATGCACTCAATTTTCATAACAAAGTGAAAGTCAACAAAAAAATTATTTTTAACAATACTTATCACTATAGCAAAAAGAAGAATTTGCGATGGGAAATTAGCGACAGTCCAAAAACCGTCGCTAATTTACAATATTTGCGACAGTTTTGGCTACTTTAGCGGGGGTCCAAAAAACCATAGCTAAAATTCCACAAAATGACCATTTTTATTTACGGTTTGACCAAGCTGTAGCTAATTACTCGGATCTTAATTTTCTTCTTGAATATGGACCGTATTTGCGACGGTTTTTCCGAAAAAACCGTTGCAAAAATTAAAATTAGTGATGGTCTGTATACCGTCGCTAAACCGTTGCTAAAATAGCAATTGAAAAAAAAATTAAACTTAGCGATGCTTTGTAGACCGTTGCTAAACCGTTGCAAAAATAGCAATTGAAAAAAAAATTAAAAAACCAATTTTTGTGATCGTTTTTTATAAAAAAAAAAAGCCATTGAAAAAATTAAAATTAGCGACGGTATGTAGACCGTTGCTAAAATTGCAATTGAAAAAAAAATTTAAAAATCAATTTTTGTGACGGTTTTTTACAAAAAAAAACCATTGCAAAAATTAAAATTGGCGACGGTTCGTAGATTGTTGCTAAAATTGCAATCACAAAAAAAAATTTTAAACCAAATTTTACAACTCGTTTTTTTACCAAAAAATCATTGCAAAAATTATAGACCATCTCTAAACTGTTGCTAAAATTGCAATTGAAAAAAAAATTAGAAAACCAATTTTTGAGACGGTTTTTGCAAAAAAATCATTACAAAATTTTAATTTAGCGACGGTACGTAGACCATCACTAAACCGTCACTAAAATGAGTCCGTTGGTGTGAAACGGCTATTTTTAGAAATTTAAGAAAAGTAATCGACAATTAGCAACAGTTTTGAGTCCGTCGCTAAACCTTTACCTTTATAAACCCATCCTCCCGAAAATTTTCAGAAAAAAAATTTCTCTCTTCGACTCTCTTCTTCTCCTCTTGCAGCAGCGTCGATCTACTCAAAATTGCCATCAAACCTTCCCCCTCTCCCTTATTTTCCTTCCAATCTTCTCCTTTCTCTCCTCCTTCCCTTTCTCCCCTCCATCTCTCCCCCGTTCTTCCCTCTTTTCCTCTTTCTTTCTTCATTTCTCTTCTCTTCCTCCAACGGTCGTTTTTCGACCAAACAAGTTCGACAAAGTCCTTCCATCGACGCAGCCCCTCTCCTCCTTGTGTTGGTGAAAGGTCCTCCCCCATTTAACCTCTCATTTTATTTTTTTAATTTTTTCAATTATTTAGTTAATATAATTTAAATATTATTTGTTAATTTAATTAATTGTTATTGTTAATTGCATGTCTTGTTGTTATTGTTAATTTGTGATTTAATTAATATTACTGTAATTTGTTTATTTAGTTAGTTTATTTGTTAAGGAAATTTAATTGGTATTAATTTTGGTTACTTGCAATAGTTTAAATGTTTAATTGTTAATTTTATTTAATTGATATTATTTTTAATTGTTAATTTAGTTAGTTTAATTGTTAAAGAAATTTAATTGTTATTACTTTTTGTTAATTGTGAGTTTATATGTTAATTTTATTGTTATTGTTATTATTAATTGATGATTTAATTAATTTATTGTTAATTGTTAATTTAGTTATTTTAATTGTTATTAATTGTTGTTAATTGTGAGAGTTTAAATTATTAATTTTATTGTTAATAAAATTAAATTGTTATTAGTTTTTGTTGTTAATTTAATTGTTATTGTTATTGTTATTAGCGTAATTGGTAATTGGTAATTTAGTTAGTTTATTGTTAAATTTTATTTATTAATTTAGTTAGTTTAGTTGTTGGTATTTTTGAAAGTTAATTATTTAAGAAAGTGGTTAATAAGTTATTAGAAATATTTTAAATTTTTAGTAATTAAAAAAATAATTAGTCATTAAAAAATTAATGTTGAATTTAGATTTAGTAATTAACAAATTAATAAGTGATTAAGTTTTTTTAGTTGTTCATTAAGTAAATTAATGTGTTAATTAGTAATTAAAAAATTAATTAATTATTTAAATATTAATTAAATTGTAATATTTATTTAGTAATTTTAAAATTTATTAGTAACTAAGCTTATTTAGTTATTGATTAAGTTAAGCGGTTAGGTAATTAGAATATTAATTAAGAAGTAAAAAATTAAGTTTTTTCAAAATTATATTTAGTAGATACAAAATTAAGTTGCTAGAAATATTTAAAATTTTTAGTAATTACAATAATAATTAGTAATTAAAAAATTAATACTTGTTGAATTTAGATTTAGTAATTAAAAAATTAATAAGTGATTAAGTTTATTTAGTAGTTCATTAAGTAAAGGTTTAGGGTAATTACAAATCAATTAATAATTTAAATATTATCAAAATTGTAATATTTATTTAGTAATTTTAAAATTTATTAGTAATTAAGCTTATTTAGTTGTTCATTAAGTTAAGGAGTTAAGTAATTAGAAAATTAATTAAGAATTACAAAATTTAGTTTTTTCAAAATTATATTTAGTAGATACAAAATTAAGTTATTAGAAATATATTAAATTTTTAGAAATTAAAAAAATAATTAGTATTTGAAAAATTAATACTTGTTGAATTTAGATTTAGTAATTAAAAAATTAATAAGTGCTTAATTTTATATAGTTGTTGATTAAGTAAAGGTGTCAAGTAATTTCAAAATTAATTAATAATTTAAATATTATTTAGTAAAAACAATATTAAGTTGTTAGAAATATTTTTAATTTTTAGAAATTCCAAATTTAATTAGTAATTAAAAAATTATTGATGGAATTAGCGTGGTTTTGACCGTCGTTAATCTAAAATAAATTGCGACGGTCCAAAAACCGTTGCTAAATTGCAATGGATTTAGCAAGGGTTTTTTTTTTTTTTTTTTGCACCGTCACAAATATTCCATTTGTTTACTATCATATTTAGCAACGGTTTTTTTTTGCGACGGTTTAGTCCATCACAAAATTAGCGATGGTCCAAAAACCATCATAAATATTTAGCGGTCGGCATTTCAACGACAGTTTGTGGATCTGTCGCAAAACCATCACTAAATTACATTAGCGACGATTTTTTCTGAATTAGCGACGATCTAGATCGTTGCTAATTGTATTTTTTTTTTTGTAGTGTATGACTTTTTTCCTGTTAATTTACAAAAATAATGCCAGGCATAATCTTAAAACATTAAAAAGAAAAAAAAATGCATCTCCAGATAGCAGTTGATAAGCTTTTAGATTACTATTGAAATCGTTTTCGTTTATTGAAAAAAAAAAAAAAACCTTAAAGGCACATGACTTTTTTTTTTTTTTTTACATTTCAATAAGTCTATTGGCAAAAAAATTGATTAAAAAAATAAAAACTTAAACATTATCTAAAGACATAATTAAATAATTAAAAAAAATGAAGATTGAAAATTTAGTTTATTATTATATATATAAAAAAAAGTTGAGCTATTTACTCAATAACTAAAATATGCATATTACAATTAGTTTCGATTTTGAATTCTTGTGTACACTAAAGATTATTTAGATAATTGTTTTAGCTTGTGCATCAGGCTAAATAGAAGGAGATTAGTCTAGAATTATTAGTATGAGATATTATGGGGATCAAAAAAAAAATATGCATACTAAAAGGGGAAATTTCTTTCCATAAACCAGAAGGTAAATGTCAGCATATTAGGTGATTGGAATTCTGCAACAGGTTTTTTTATTTCTTATTAATCTTTTTTAAAATGGTAAGAATTATGGAAGGGAAGGGAAAACATACTGTTATGGCCTTCTGATTAGCACAGTACAAGTCAAAATCAAACGAGACTTGTAAAAAGAAACTGACCCTTCCAATTCTCACTAAGTTCTAATATATGTATATACATAGAGAGAGAGAGAGAGAGAGAGAGAGAGAGTAACGCCCATGTGATTTTGAGAAAACTTTCCCCAGTTTGGTTCGTTCTAAGTTTCGATTTTTGAAACTTTATACGTAAATTTACTTTCTTTCTTTTTTCCTTCACATTGGAGGAGGCTGCAAGTATATCCAAAAAGTGAAAATTCTATCTGCCGCGGGCCCTTCACGACCCTTCTTCTGTAAACCAGAAGCTGAAATCACTACGTACGTCATAAAAGTTGATATTATGTTGTCGTGATTCCGTAGCAGTTTTTAGTTCTTATTAATTTATTTATACGCACGCGTCCATGTTCAACGATCGCTTTATTTTGTTTACCTATAAATACTGGCGCAAATCCAAGCTGAGGAAAGTATCGTGTGGCAGTTTTTGTGAGAAATGGCCACTGCAATTCGATTTTTTGAGCTGAACACCGGTGCTAAAATCCCTTCAGTTGGTTTAGGCACATGGCAAGCTGCTCCTGGTGTTGTTGGCGATGCTGTCACTTCTGCCATTAAGGTATTTTGTTATCGTTCTTTTAATTAATTAATAAGAATTTTTTAGATGCCTCCGATTAATTCTGGTAGAATGCATGGTCCACTATGGATTTTTGCATTCTTTAATTTCCAATTGATTAAAAATTAATTATGACGACCCCCTTTAAAACATTAGTGGATGAGGTATTGTTCCGTTTTTGATGCAGGCTGGGTATAGACACATTGACTGCGCTCGACTTTACTGCAATGAAAAAGAGGTTATGATTCTTTCTAACGCATAATTTTCTTATCACAAGTTCTGGTTCAGTTTCTATAGGAATATATATAAGAAAAACAAAATCTTTTGTTGATGTTGATTGCTGGTCTTCTGCAGATTGGTTGTGCATTGAAGAAGCTATTTGACGATGGGGTAGTAAAGCGTGAGGAATTGTGGATCACTTCAAAACTCTGGTATGTGTTAAGGGGAGTTATTCTATTTCTTCATATGCCTTGAAAACATAACATCTTGAGCAATTTGATTATGATGATTTACAGGTGTAATGATCATGCACCGGAAGATGTACCAAAGGCATTAGAGACAACTTTGAAGGACTTGCAGCTTGACTATGTAAATCTGTATCTGGTATGTTATTACAATATAGAGTCATACAATACAAGAATTTTTTTTTTCTTTTTGGTTTCAAGAAACTAAAATTAAATTGTGAAATTAATTTTTGGCACTAAAATGTGATGAAATGTTTTTTAAGATTCATTGGCCCGTCAGCATGAAGAAGGGTTCAGAGGGCTATAAGCCTGAAAACCTTACTGAAACCAACATACCGGCAACATGGAGAGCGATGGAGGCACTTTATGATTCTGGCAAGGCTCGTGCTATCGGAGTTAGCAATTTCTCGTCAAAGAAGCTTGGAGATTTACTAGCAGTGGCTCGTATACCTCCAGCTGTTAACCAAGTCGAATGTCACCCTGAATGGCAGCAGCCGAAGCTTCATGAATTTTGCAAATCCAAGGGCGTTCATTTATCTGTGAGTATGAAATAGAAGTAAATCTTCTATTATTCGATTGCAAATAATAACGATTTTGATGAATTTTGTATTTTTCCCTTAGGCGTATTCACCACTGGGTTCTCCAGGTACGGGAACCATCAAGTCTCAGGTTCTCAAGAATTCAATTCTTAATATGATTGCTGAGAAATTAGGAAAATCTCCTGCACAAGTAGCTCTGAGGTGGGGACTGCAGATGGGCCACAGTGTGCTGCCTAAGAGCACAAATGAGGCAAGGATCAAGGAAAACTTTGACATTTTTGATTGGTCTATTCCTGAAGATTTGTTTGTCAAATTTTCTGAAATCAAACAGGCAAGTGACTGGTTATTAATTTCTTCCTCCATGTTTTATGCCTGTAAACTTTTCTGTGAATTGCTCCATTTAGTATATGATTTTCAAGTTTAGCTTAATGCAATCTGCCATGGATTTATAGAAATGCATGCTTTGGACATTCTAAGATATCAAAATAATTACCTAGTTGATGAGTCTTTCTTGGATCATAGTCACAGAGTGTGTGTAATTTTATGGGGTGGCAACGCGCAACTAAAATTGCTTCCATTCTGATTTAGTAATTTATTGAACTTGTGATTCTATCCTGCAGGAGAGGCTAGTTAAAGGTACTGTCTTTGTGCACGAGACTTATGGTTCCTACAGAACAGTGGAAGAACTCTGGGATGGTGAATTATGAAAAGATGCTTGACATTTCTTTTTCCTGGATCTTGAGCTTCCATCTCACGTGGCTCGAATTTCTGTTGTTTAGTCTGCTTGTTAGTTGGTTTAGTACTTGATGAATAAATAGCTATTGTTAATTGAGTTTATCCAGCATATTTCAGAAAAAACAATAGTTGATTGTTTAAAGTCCATCCAGAAGTAGCCAAATTTCTCTATTCAATTTTGTTTCACTTTCTTCCTATGAATTGTTTGTTTGTATGTCGTCTAGGTTCAGTTGGTGAAGCAGTAGGCATTAGTTGCAGCTGCGAACACAAAAATGTTTCATTTTGAAGTCCTAATGTTCAAAAGCTACATTAAAAGTCTTCTAAGAGTTTGTAGCTACTTTAAAAATGTAAGAATATATGTTTCGCATGACAGGTAAAAAGTAATTTATAGCAAAAGTAAGTTAGAATGACTTTTCTTTAGTAAAAATATTTCTTCTTTTTTTTCTGAAAATGAAATTCAGTATTGTTAGAATTAAAAAATTAAAGCAAAATCTGTAATCAATTTTCATAACAAAGTAAAAGTAAAAAAAATATATTATTTTTTAACAATACTTATGACTTTTTTCCAATTAAGTTACAAAAATCATGCCAAACATAATCTAAAAACATTTTTTCAAAAAAGGATGCATCGTTGAGAAGCTTTTAGATTACTTTGAAATCGCTTTCATTTATTATGAAACCCTTCTATTATTGCGCTGGAGAAAAAGTTCGTCTAACCAGCAGCTAAACTCCTCTACACGCTTCTAGTCAAATGGGGAGATTAGAGAACCTTTCCTACGGGACTATCCTTGTTTGAGTCCAGTCGTTGGGCTATTCTTGGCTCCAGTTCAGAGTTTGACGAAGTCTCTCGTTTCTGGATGCGTACAGATTTTTGTCTTTTTTGTCTTTTGTCGCGTAGACATTAGATGAGGCCGTAATCCTGAAAAAAAAAAAAAAAAAAAAAACAGTCCCTTCTTCAAGCTCGAATTGTTTCTGCATGATTAATAAATAATATCCATCAACAAAATGCTAGAATTTTCAAACTTTCAAGAATAATGCTAGAATTTTCAAACTTTCAAGAATAAAGTATGATGTTTCCGCTTGTCACGATTTCAATGATATGTAATTTGTATTTTAGTTAATCATAAAAATTGTCATCTTTAGCAGGAATTTTTTTAGTTTTTTTAATCAAGCTTCAGATTTTATAAACGTCTTTTTCTTTTTGGTTAGGTTTGGTGCAGAGGCCAGCCGGCCCCATTCCCGTCAGAGCATAAATGACATATCAATGCTATAGGACAATTACCTCCTACTACGTACACCCCTTTCCGGTTAAAAGCAAAAGAACAAAAAGCAAAATCCGAGCTTTCCAAGCATTTTAAAATAGTTCCTCTGTCCTTTTCGGTGAAGACCTCCAAAATCTGAGAGGGACTATCACCGCCAATTTGACTACAATAAATCATAGTTACCATGAAATAATTAGAATCAAAAAAGAGCAAATTAGAGTTTTACTTGAAAAAAAAATCGAATAGGTCACTTCATGGATCGATCAAAATCAACTTTCATACACGTCTAAAGCCCACGAATTCAAAACTGAACAGATCCCTGATGCTAACCGTAGCTAATCCATAAACCCTCCAGTCGAAAATAATCTATGAATCCTAGATCAAACCTTTTCAAGTATTCGATTGAAAGAGACTAGGTTCATATAGTGAATTGAAGCTCCAATTATGGATTCGAATTAGAGAGGAAGCAAAGCTATGGTTGATAATGAAATTATATTAAAAGAGGTTAGTAATATATTCAAAAAAATATAACATGACATGTGTCTTTTACAAACTATGAAAAAAAGATCCTTTTGCGTCAAACAAATCTATATAAGACTTTCGAAACTCTCATGACTAAGAATATTTGTTCATCAACTTTCATTAACAATCTCCGAACTTAGTTCATTCTACACTAAAAAGGAGCATAAAAAACAAGCATTTAATGAAAAACACTGCCCACCACATCACTTTTAAAAATAATGGGTATAAAACATTCATTCATCGGAATCCTCAACTTGTAGAAATCAAGTCATAAGTTGTTGCATGATAAAGGAAAATACATTTTTGCTCTTGAGAGAAAGATGAATACGCCGTCTACTTCATATAAGCTAATCATCCTTACCACTATATAAAGGTTAACATCACATATGTTAAAAAAAATTAGGTTATGTCTTCTACACTCTACACATATAAAATATCATGGTATAACACTAGATATTTTCTTCGAATATAGCAAAACATGCGACTAACCCTATTTAGACCAAACTCACCTAAAGATTTACTCGTTATGCCTAATCGAGCCAAGCACCTCTCTTGATATACTAATTTAACGATAAGAAGGTCCTCCAAATACCGGAAGATGGCTTATTTTGCAACTACATATGATAAAACTCCAAGAAAAGAACATATCTCCACTTTACGATCAATGAAGGAGAAATTACATCCAATTGTTCAAACAATTCGAAGATATTGTACTCATCAATGGTGTTGTCTATGAGAAACTAAGCAAAAAACCGGTTCTTAATCACCTTATTTCTCCACACTCTGTACTTCTCCATAATTGAGAATCAAGAAACTCCATCATGATCTATGTCATTTGACTTTGCTAGTCTTAGTGCTTCATCTATGTGTCGTAGCTACAATAACGCACCGAGTTGCTAATTGAGACCTATATATCGATTTAAAAATAGAATAAGTCTTTAATTACTCTATTACCAATGCTACAAACATAACTAGGGCCTCTACATAGCCTAGAAACTTTCTTTCTATCAATAAATCCATTGCGGACAAATCCATCGCACTAAAAACGATATCCTTACTAGTCAATCAACGAGGGGACGATCATATATAATGAGGGAATGGCATAAAAAAAGCACATCGTCACTCCTAAGAATAGCAATGGGTAGGTTGGGGGCGGGGATGGCCATTCCCGCCTCCATCCCACCCCTTAAAAGCTCTATCCATCCCTACCCTATAGAAAAAAATGGGGCAATATTAGGGATGGGGATCCGTACTGAGACATTGATGTCCCGCTTAATTCTTTACGACCGCCCTACCCCATCTCATTCTACCTTATACCATCTTGTACTAAATTTCAAATTATAGAAAAAAGATAACGAGTTCATATAAAAAATACAATTAAGAAAGACAATCATTCGAAGCATCACAATCAACTACAAGCTTACAACACAACTCATAACACATTAGATTATTTTGAATCGAATAAATAAAATACTTAATTAAGTTGATAAAACATCATAACTACTAACATCATAAATACAATTAAAAAAAATATTTTTGTATGTCTTTACTCGTTTAGAGATCATCAAAACTCACTAATTATATTGAACTTCGAAGTAATCATCGATTACTATAGATCCTACATTCATTAACATTAAAAGTGAATTAGTTATCATAAAAAAAATTTATGCTATCATTTAAACTTTGATATATTATTTTAAACCTTCATAGTCTTCTAGATACTCCTCATACATAGTATAATAACCATCCGAAACAAATGGAGTTCCACCTAGAAACAAATACAATAAACATAAATAAGATATGTAAAAATTTTAAGAACTTAATAAAAAAAATCAGATTCATAAGTGGAGTTTTAGTACATTACTTTCATTCTTAGCTGCCCACAACTAATTTTGAGCACATATTAATACTTCCATTATCTTTGGATGTAGTCTACTTCAATGTAGACTTACTAGCCTACCACTAGCACTAAAAGCTGATTCTAAAACAACGATTGACATAGGGATTGTCAACACATCCTTAGCAATTGTCATCAAATTAGGGTACTTCACCTCCATTTACTTTCCACCATACTAAAATATCAAAATCCTTGATTTTTGGAATAACACCCTCATCTAAGTACTCGGTCTAACTCTGTCTTGACAAAATAATCTTGGTCTTCTTCCTTGAAACATACAAGTCAACTCAAATTCCATATCCTCAACAACCATTAAAGGATTAGCCACAACAGAACTACCACATCCTCCATCCACATTCATATATGTATATATTTTTTTTGTACTTAGTCGACAAATCATAATAAAGCTTTCTTATAATCTCAACTCGAACCATAACCTCACTACTATAAACTTTCTTAAAATAGAACTCAAGTGAATACGTTTTGTACCTAGGATCTAAAACTGCAATTGCTTCCATTATTTCATGAATCACACTTCAATACTTATTGAACTTATCTAACAGATTTTATATCATTCCACTAACCATTTGATTAGGAAAAGTGAGCCATTGAATCAATACAATCTTAATTTTATAAATTTTAATGACAAACAAATTAGTTGTGAGGTATTGAGTTCCTAAAAAATTCGAGTAATACTATAAAAGATCTTCAATCTCCTACATATTTCCTCTATAAATTCTTAATCACTATCAATAGGTACAAATATATAATGAGGTTTACAATGCTTCAATCTAGAAAAATAATCCTTATTTAATAAAGTAATTTCAAGCATTAAATAGGTAGAATTCCATATAGTTGGACAATCTAAAGCCAATTTTTCCTTGATAGGAATGAGAAGGAATTTAGCGGTGTCCTCAAACTTTTGAACTCTTTTAAGAGTTACTATCTAAAAAGCTACACTATCTCTAATTCGTTCAATTCCTTCCTTAATGACATCCGACTCATCTTTCACTAGTAAGTTGATGATATGAGTACAACACCACATATGCAATAAAGAACCATGATTCAACAACTCTAAATAATTTATCTTATCCTTCACATAATCAATCATAGAATCATTGGTGGAGTAATTATCCAATATAATAGTGGATAATTTTTCTTCAACATTCCAATCAATTACACAATTAGTTAAAGTAGTTGCAAAGACAATGCTTATATGTAGACAAGGAACATACATAAACATAAAAGTAAGATATAAATTAGTTATAAACTAAAACTATTAAACTAAAGAAATTAAACAAGCATCATTAAGTTAATAAGAAATGAAGAGCACCTTAATAGATAGCTTCGTAATGTCTAAGAACTATCAATGTAGTGAATTTTAATAGCCATGAATCTTTTTTTTTTATGCTCATTGTCCACAAATCAGTAATGATGGCAATTCTACTTTTAAGTTTTTTGAAAACTCTCATCATTTTTGCTTTCTCATTGTCATATATCTTGAAGGCATCATTTTTTACCGTATTTCTAGTATGACACTTGAACAATGGTTGAAAAGTAGTTGTAAACTTCCTAAAATTGATATGATCAACTATAAAGAGCGAGTATTCATGCATTGTGATAATAGAAATAAGCTCTTTTCTTCTTATCTCTTGATTAAAAGTATGAGTTATTACATCACTCATTAAGTTAAAAGTCAAAACCTTTTACCATATACCTATAATTTTCCTTCATGGACACCTCTTAAAGTGATCATGCATATGTTTAGTGTCATTCTTTGACTTGCCTCCAAGTTGCCTCTTGTAATAATTGCATTCTCGCCTTTTCTTCACCATTCACAATTTTCCTTGTGAAATGGTTCCATACAAAACTATAATACTTTTTAGGAGGAAGATCATAATCACTTTGAAGTTCACCCACAGATGGGTTATGGAGATGAAATTGATTCGATAACTAGAGTAGATGGAGTGGAATTCAAATGTTTTGATGTAGAGTCTATAGATCGATGGAAGCTACCTCCATCTTCATGGCTTGTCATTTTTTGAAAATATATAATAGAAATTAATAAAAACAAAATTAGATATAGAGGATAGAATTAGGAACAATTTGATTCATGATTTCTATTTGGATAAAGAAAATTACATACATAAATAAAAATGATATTATTTGTATTTCACAATCGAAAAAGGAGAAAAATCTATTAAAATTGGTAAAACTAGAAGAAACACATAGCAAATGGAAGAATTATAATAAAAAGAAAGCTTCCCCATCTAAAATTAACTCTTTTGCAAATCTAAAAGTAGATCGGATTTTCGAAAGAGTTAATTCAAAGAACTAATTGGAAAAAAAAACTAATTACCTGGATATCGGTGGTGGATGATGGGTGGCAAAGGGCTATGGTGGTTGGCATCACGGTGGGTCGTGGTGGTGGGCATCACGGTGGACTGTGGTGGGTGAGATGGATCCGATGGTCTATGATGGTAGGCAGTATGAGAGATAGTTGTAGAGTAAATAAAAGGTAAAGATGTGATGTGTAATTATATAAATTGTGTAAAAATGAGACCACTAGTAGTCATAGAACTATATATATATATATATATGTTGGGTATAATTATAATTTTCAAAAGGCCCATCCCCGTTTAAAGTCAATGCAGGTGGGGCCCTTCATCCCATTCCCTAGTCAACTCAAAGAATCTCTACGTTGATAGGGACAACGTCCCGTCAAGGCGAGGCAAATTGCCATCCTTAATTGCTCTTCGAAACCTTATAGGAGTCGTCAATCTAACAAAGAACGAGCCGATCAAGGCTCTTGAAAAGAAAACAAAAAAGATGATAAAACAAAGTATCATCACGAGTATTAGAAGTAGGCATAACATGGCCAAAAACCGACATAAAAACCAAAAAATGGGTAGCTTCTTGTTGTCCCAAACCATTTTCATAAACCTCGAACCTAACCGCCAACAAGAAGAAAAATGACTAATGGTCCTCGACTTTGAAGACATATGCTCCAAATTGATGGCTAGCTTCTCCACCAACATTTTTACCAAAAGAAGCTCGGGAGACTTGTTCTTAGTCTCCCGAAGAGACTTTTTCTTACCTATGGGATTTACACTAATCTAGTACTCATTTTTTCTAACTAAATAGTAGAATATCTCTCTTAGATATTCTTTTCTTTGCTAATAAACCCTTCATAACTAGCCCATCTAATTGATTTGTAAGATTGACTAATTCAAAAGGTTAATCTAGTTTAAAGTTGTTGAGACAAATTTTTTGCTTTATCAAACAAAGCTTTCCAAGAAGGTCTTAGTTGGCCCATCTCTTTTTAACTTATATAAAAAATTTATCTTTCCCACTTTCATAAAGAATTGTTATAGGTTGATAGACCGTTGGAATCTATCACCATCGAAACTCTTATAATAGGCGTTAACGACCCTAATCTATGGAAGATCTATACTCTTTAGAGCAGAAATCTCTATCAAGTTAAGAAGATGATAGAGAGTCATGTTCGGGTTAAAGAAGCAATCGCCACTCGACAAGCTCAATCATGCTTATGACAACTAATAGAGAGAATGAATAGGAAAAAATCTCCTCCAACCAATATTTATTATATAAGTGTATTTTTTTTAAAAAAAAGACAGATACAAAAATAAATAAATAAAAAATTACATCCGAACATTAAAAAAAAAAGTGATAATAATATTTCTAGTTGGACTCAATTTTTTTTTAATTTTTTCTTTCTTATTTTTCTATTTTTCATTTTGTATCTATTTTTCTTATAAAATAAATATTGATACTTCCTCTTCAAAAATTATAAAATCTTCACTTACCCCTAATCCAAGTTTCACAATGTAGGTCCATTGCCTTATGAGATTTGCGCCTTTATAAGCACCTTTTTCTTGTTTCAGAATGTAGTGCATTAAAATGGGGATGTTCAAGTTTTTGGCAGTTATTTAAAAAAAAAATTCTATCCCCATATTCTCTCATTTTCTACTTTTTCTGTTACAAAATATTTGACAACCACACATCAGGGATTCCAACGTCACTATTCTCTATAAAATCCCTTAGAAACAAACACGGTGCAAAAGACAAAAACCAGCTTCATTCAAAATTAAAGACTTTTAATGGCCGATTAACACATCACACACAAAGTACGAGTAAACTAGTACACTTGGCCCTTCCGTTTTATTATTAGAATAAGTCAATAGAACTTGGCTTCTGATTCATACCGCCGGTTTGCTTTCTTTATAAGCAAGAACAAGATAGTCATAGCCATACAACGCTCGTTGGCTTCCTCTCTCTTCACTCAATTTTTAGCATTACGTTACAAAAATTTTTCTTGAAAGCTTTGAATCTACGTAGCGCACTTTGATTTCTATTTTTAACTTTGATCACAAGAGTCAAAAAAAGAAAAAAGTGTGAAAAAATGGCAAATGAGATGCCATTTTTCGTATTAAACACCGGAGCTAAGATGCCGTCAGTGGGCTTTGGCACCTGGCAGACCGAACCTGGTGTCGTAACTGCCGCCGTTACTTCCGCCGTCAAGGTTTTATTACTATCAATCCATCCTTTCATTTTTTTTAATCACAGGGAAGAAAAAGACGGACGATTAATATCTTGACTTTTGAATGCAGAATGGATACCGTCATATTGATTGTGCTCAAGCTTATAAAAATGAGCCGGAGGTATTCATCATTTGTATTAATTTAGAGTTTCTGGTCGGATTGGTGTCGTTTGCAGAATTTTTTTTTCTGTAAAATGGTTCGGTTTAAGTTCTTGTTAAAAAAAAACGTCCAAAGTAAACAAGTTTTCTATTTCTATTTCCAAAAAATTAGAAAAAAGAGGAGAAACTGCAAATGATATAAAAGGTTTTAAATAATATAAAAACTTTTTACCGATTTTTAGCTTGCTCTTGATTTCTAAACTTTGTTCTGCATATGCGCGCGAGTGTTTTTTGTAATCCCTAAAAAATTGCTTATCATGTGGATTCCTACAATTATGATGGCTATAAGCTTGTAACTATAGGTTTATGGCGATTTGTTGCATGGTTTTTGCTGTTCTTCCTGAATTCAAGTTTTAATTAAAGTAAATTACTCTAGTTTTAGCATGGAGGTATGGAGTCATGTCTTGAGCGGCAGCTTCTAATTTTTGGAATTGGTCCTTTTAGGTTGGTTTGGCTTTCAAGAAGCTCTTCCAAGACGGTGTCGTGAAGCGCGAGGATTTATTTATTACCTCAAAACTCTGGTTTGTTTTTATCTCTTCTATGACATACTATGGGAAATTTGCTGAGGAGTGTTGTCCCTCTGGTTATGTGTGGTTAATGGTTCAATAGTGCTTGGTGCTTGTTTTCTGAGTTTTCTAAAAATGAGATAATCCTTACAGGTGCTCTAATCATACACCAGAAGATGTGTCAGAGGCACTTGCAGGAACTTTGCGGGATCTGCAACTTGATTATGTTGATTTGTATCTTGTAAGTGTTACTTTTTGTTGAGCTTAATTCTTTCAAGTTATGTTTCTTATTCACTTAATTGTTGAGTTGATGCTTCATTATTGCTTGCATGCTCGCCTTGAATTAATCCTTTTGATAGAAACTGTATCTACCTTGGTCCAAATAATGTGTAAGATACAATGAAAATCTTGAATAAGAAGAAACGTATCTGTAGAAATTAAATGCTCATTTGGGTGCCTTTGAGGAAAGTCGGCAACTACGGCTAAATCATTGAAGCCCTTGAATTCAGCATCCTCTGTCTCTGCCTAGCCTAGAAAATCTAAGTTTGATACTAAAGATACTTCAGCGTTCAAGTTTCAACTGACAGTTATGTCATTGATGAAGTCGTTGAATCATAAAGGCTGCTCAATTTTGTAGATACACTGGCCGGTTCGGTTAAAGAGGGGATCAATTGGCGTCAAGCCTGAGAACTTTGTGCAACCAGATTTTCCTATGACATGGCAAGCGATGGAAGCACTCTATGATTCTGGCAAGGCTCGTGCTATTGGTGTGAGTAACTTCTCTACAAAGAAACTGGCGGATCTGCTGGAGGTGGCTCGTGTTCCTCCTGCTGTGAATCAGGTGGAATGTCATCCTGCATGGCAGCAGGCAAAGCTACGTGCATTTTGTCAATCCAAAGGAGTTCACCTATCTGTGAGTAGACAGATGCTGCTTGCTTGCTTCACCTACTTCTTTCTGCAAACTTTTTGTGTTTGATAGAATAGGTTATGCACATACGGTTTTTGTTTTCAAGAGGATAATGATCCTTTTGTTTACATGTATTTCTTTCAGGGATATTCACCGCTAGGATCTCCTGGCACCACATGGCTCAAGAGTGATGTACTCAAGAACCCAATCCTAAAAATGGTTGCAGAGAAATTGGGCAAAACTCCTGCACAAGTTGCCATTCGCTGGGGCCTTCAAATGGGTCATAGCGTGCTTCCTAAGAGTACACATGAAGCATGGATCAAGGAGAACTTCGATGTCTTCACATGGTCTATTCCGGAGGACCTGTTTGACAAGTTTTCTGAAATTGGGCAGGCAAGTATACTTATTTACTATGGTGATGCTACTGTTAATGTGGATTTAGCTTATTAGTTAACGGTAGCATGGCTAAACCTGCAATTTGCTGTAGACTCCAAGATTTAGTTCCCGCTTGATGTATCTGTTGAATATTATTTTGTGGGTTGCTATACTAAGGTTAGGTGGGTTTTGTTTTATACTGTCTCTACAAGTATTGTGGTCATAAGAGAAATTGCAAGGAATTGCACAAAACGTATCTCTTACTTTATTTATTCAACTCATGAAAATGGCTGTTAATTCAAGAAGAGATTTTGGCTGCTAAAATGAAAAAATTTAACTCGACTGATGCTTTTACATCCAATTTCTGCAGTCACGAGTACTCAGAGGTACTGAATTTGTCCACGAGACCCTCAGTCCATATAAGACCCTTGAGGAACTATGGGACGGTGAAATCTGAGCAGTTAGATGAGTTGTTAAAGGAAGATGGAGGAAAATATTGAAGGCCAAATGGAAGGGACGGTACGTAACAGGAGAGTCAGTTATTTATGGTTATTTTTAGCTGCCATTCCTGATCAACAATAGAAGATTTTGAATTTGTTTTTCGTGCTTGAAATTGCGGTTATAAACAATTGGATGTGATCGAGGCTCTTAATTAATTATTGTTTACCAAATTTATCCATGATTTAAAATATTCCATGCAACATATATATGTGTTTGACTTGAAGTTACTGATCGGCTCCAGATATGTATAAACCCAATTTTCGATCTCTTATTTTTATGAAGTTTTTTCAAAAAATCAAAATCCTAAAAATTGGATATTGTTTTTGTTACTATGATTTTTTTTATATAATTTTTTTAAGTAGTTTTATAAATTTTTAAGATTTTATGCTGTAGATAATTAAAAAAAAGAGAAAATAAATAAATAAATAAGAGAGGAAAAGAACGGAAAGAAAAAAGAGATGGTTTAAAGAAAAAACTTGAAGGAAAAAAAATGAAAAGAAATGCCGGAAAAAAAACAACAGAAAGAAATTGGGGTAAATTGAAGAAAATTAGAAAGAAAGAGGATCAAATTGGAAGGAGAAAATTATAATCATCAATTAAAGTGTGTAATTGAAGTTAAAAGAAAAGTACAAGGACCAGAATTGAATTCAGAGTTTTTAAGGACTAACATAAATGTTTGACTAATGGAACGATGCCGTTGTGCTTTTTATTTAAATAAAAAAGATAACTCACCCAGGACAAAAGGACAGCCAGGGCCAAATGGTGTTGCTTTGTCCTGCTGGCAGTGTTCGTTTTTTTTCCTTTTTCCCCGAGTTTCTTTACCTTTTTTGATAGATTTTAAGCAATATTTTATTTTATTATTTGGCTTGATTTCATTCTTTAATATTGAACCAGACACTAGTTTTTATTTCTCAGTATCTGAACTAATTTCTGACCAAAAAAGAGCGATAAAAGAATCCCTCAATTTGCCACAATTTTTACTCAAATAACATGGCATAAAACAAAACAACCCCTCCATACATGGGGGAAAAAAAATCATATTGAAACAACTATAAATCCTCCTAAAAATCACTACAAAGTCCATCAATTCATAAAGATGTAGATCCTCTCCCAACTCTATAAATATGACGGAAAACCAAGGAAAAAAAAAATTGAGACAGTTTGGCAGTTTTAGGAGTCATCTTTAGGAAAATTTTTATATTTAATTCTCCAATTGTTTTGGCTGTTTTCAGTTTCTACTTGTAGAAAATATACCTCTCTTTATTTTCAAATTTTTAATCTATCATATTCACGTTTTTTTTTTCTTTTTTCTTTTGCCATAACAGTCAGGACCGCAGCTTGAAAAAAAAGAAAATAACGTTTCTGGGAATTTTGTTTTCTTTGAAATTTTAGCTCGATTTTATACAGTTCAGTCCTTGATTTTGTTGGGCTGTTTTATTTTGATAATTTAATAAAATTAATTTTCAATTGGATCTTTTAATTTCACATAATAAGGGTTAAATCAACATTGTTTAGAGAGAAGGTATGTTCTGTTCATTCCTAATTTGGGTACGATTTTGATTTGATTTTAATCTGAATTTTTAGTATGTTGTAAATATATGTGTCTTCTAATTACATATCAAATTTCATAATTTTCAGAGATTGTTTAGGCACACATCTCAATTTTCTTAGTTCATGCTAACTGATTCATTTCTACATTAAAAATAAATTGATTAAATATTTTACCTTAAAATTCTAATTGGATCTGACGTTAAATTAATACGACTCTTGATCTTGGAGTCCATCGATAATTTAATACTATCATAAAATATAACTCATCTAATATGCGTTAAATCATTAAGAGAAAATAAAATAGAACACATAACAACATATTTTTACATATCAAGAACTACAAGATTGCCCCTACAATTCCCATTCATGGTCCTTGCACATCGAATCATCCATATAATACACTAAAATAAACTCTAGATATTTGATATTGCCATTAATGTCAAGAAAATATTGGATCTAATAGTAAATAAATACGATTCCCAAGTTTAGGTCCAACGCCAATCTAACTTGATTTCATAATAAATAATAAATACTTTAATGTGTCATAAAAGGAATCCAATAATAAATGTAAAGAATTAATTCCTCGTATTAATTCCAAATTCACTTCGACTCTATTTGGTAGTAAAACTAAAAAATAGGCTCAGGGAATTTTAATTTTAGAAAATGACATAAGAATAGAACAAGTTTTGAAATCTTTCTTAGAAAAAGATATTTTTAGATTATTTTTATCTTCACATAAATAAAACCAACTTCTTACCCATGTCTCTGTAAGGCCGATTATTTAGGTTTTCTATTCTCCTTAAAGTAATAAGTGGTGACTCTTCATCATTAACCTTTTTTTTTTTTGAAAAGTTTCTTAAAGCAACTTTGATGGGGAGAGAGTTAAGCCATATACTTGTCTCTTTTTTGAAGTCACTTTCTTTAATTATTTTTGCCATTTTATATTAAGCTATTTATTTTCAAGCAAATCATTTATTTATTCTCAAATCATTTAAATTCGAGTCATTCATTTATTATTTTATCGGATTGAATCAATATGCATATATTTTTGTAGCTTCCACACACCATTAAAAGACCATAAAAAAACTATAAATTCGAGCTCTATCTCTTTTATGATTAGATTAAAAATTCAAAAACAAATGTGATGTAAGTCTACCGATGTTTTTCTAGACCTCTACTCAAATTGGAAATCATTTATGTTCAAAAGATTGTGAAATATTTTTTTCTATACCTCTCATTACATAAGGTTAAAGGTTGGTTTATGTCGTTAGTAATCCGAGCAATTTGGAAACTTGAAAAACTTTTAGAGCTAAACAAGCTAAGTTAAACCTTATAAAAGACATAAATTATATAAAGGCTTCTAAAAGAAGAAACTGAATATAAACATGTAGGTCGTCCTGAAAAAACTCAACTTCCTTCCAAAAAATATAACACTTGACTAAAACAACACAAAGTAGAGAATGAAGAGAGAATATTATCACCAAAAAAAGAATTGATGCTATGAAGGGCAAAATCACCCAACTCACGAGAGTTTGCTTGAATGGGTATTGCAAACATTGTCGTTAGGGGAATGCACATCAAGTAAGGGGTAAGCCCAAGTGGAAGTTCCATCCTCTACTCATTTAAATCATCCTCAAATGCATCCATGACCATCTTCAAATGCCTCTAGGGTCATCTTCGATCCCATCAGTCAACCCAAATGCTTGATTTTTCCTCTAGAAATCCAAATTTCTATTGAACAAGTCTCGTATGTAATGGTTACTCAAGCCTTACTTACTATAACCTCATAGTTGAGGATAACCTAAAGGTTAAAGTAGTGAAAGAATACAAGTAGTCTATCTTTGAAGAACATTTAAGGATGATAGAAGGCATAGATATATATGATCCGGTAAAAGCTATCGAGATATAGCTTGTGCATGATGTAGTAATTCTAAAAAAGTAATGTTTTTTTCTTGAACTTGAAAAACATATACATTGTTAATACAAAATCAAAGAGTAATAGTTTAGTCTGTTTTTATATCATAAAATCAATTTTTATTTTTTTATATTTTAAAATGAATCAATTATGCCTATGTATTTAAATTGAGTTTTTACAGTTAATTTTTCCAACCAAACTAAATAATAATAATAAAAAAAAACATATGACTTATATATAATTTATCTCATATAAGCATCTTCTAAAAAATAAAACGTAGAACAGACCATAAGGAAAAGAAAAAAACGAAGCATTGATAGTTTTGAACTACGTCTATCAATTAATGAAGACTAACTTTATTTAATTTCATCAATGAACCTTCGACTCTTCTATTTCTTCTTTTTCATCATCATCATCAGAGATCTCTTGCTCCTCTTGATTTTTATTATCGCTATAACTTGGATGTGGTACGAGCCCAGAATCAATTAATTCAATATCCTCTAACAGGTGTTTGTAGTGCTGCTTAATATCATCAACACTTTTTTCAGGAAGCAAAAGAGCAACCTTCTCCCACTCCCCTTTTATAAGATACTCCCAATTCATCTCAAATTTTTTGTTTTCTTCGCAAGTCCGTCGAGTTGGGTTGGACATGGTCTTGCTTTTTCGCACCTTTGCTATAAGCCACAAATAGAGAAGGCTGCACCATATATAGAAGCTGTTCTGTGAAGGGCTAGGACTAGGGCTAGTGAGCCATTTAAAGAGCTCTCTTGCCGCTCCTTATATGGTAATTAAGGAAATATTCTTGCTAGTAGAGGATAGCTACACATTTAATTCAGACAATAAGCCGGTCGGAATACAAAATTGGCAACGCATTCTCTGCTTTTGGAAGTTTTGACGGTCAAAATTTTCTATTTGACACTTCAAATTTCAAACTTCTAACTATTTCCTCTTTGATTGTCGCTTTTCATAATATTATTTCTTTTTGTTTTTTTATGGGGCAATATTATTTTCTAAATCAATATAACTTGTGTCACATACACAATATACCGATCTATTTTTTCCTAAAAAGGATTAAATCTAGCTCTTTTACATATAGTAGTGTTTTTGGCACATGGTATATCAATATAAATTTTATAAAAATATTACAATTAATGATAAGGAAAAAAAATAGTAAAACACTATATATATATATATATATATATATATATATATATATATATATATATATATATCGAGGTATAAATGTGAATAAAAATTTTACTCAAGGCCTTAATAATTTGTAGCATGATTACATATATTAGCGTTATAGTTTTTACAAACCTTTTCTTTCAAATGAGATCCATTTTATTTTATTATATGTGAGGCAAATATTAAAGATATAAATATGAATAAAAAAATTATTGTACGTTTTGACCTAGGACTTAAGTGCGCTTTAAGAGTAGTAGAATTCGTCAAAAGTTATTAATACTTTACTCTAAATAAATTAAAGATAACATCAGAAAATAAACAAGATTCTCTTATAAAAAAAAATTAATAGAAAGGTTTATTTTAATTTGTTGAATTTTAATGCAATTTTTTTTATTATTTTTAGATTTTAATTATGTGTATCATGAAAAGAAATTAAACAAAAAATGCATAAACATAAATTTTATTAATCATTTTCATTATAGGAGTTTTCTTTTAATATTAGTAATGATGGTAAAAAGAAAGTAATTATATTTTTGGTGTGTCTAGTTGATAATTTTCTAATCAAATGTGCGGTCTTAAATATTTGTTATTTGAGTTGATCAAATGGCAATTTTTTTTTTAATTAAGCATTTTAGTTAACTCTGTGTCGATTTTTTTTGTTATTTGCACGCATGACCAATCTAATGAGACCCGCATTGACACGTGATAATGATGTGGCAAACATGTGTCAATAATTTGAAAAATTAAAAAAAAAAAAAAAAGATTAGAAACTGTGAGAAACAAAGCAATCTCTCTCTCGCTCTCTCTCTCTCTCTCTGTGTGAACAATTCACTCATTACAACTCACGTATGCTCCGATACCTCAACAGATCCACTACAGTCTTCTGGCATCATTTTCAAGGATTAGGATCCTACAACTAGATTCACTTTTGCAGGACAATTGTTGCACAAAAAAACACATAGAAATCTCACTCCTTTGCAAACAGAGAAAACAGAGTAGTGTCCAATTCATGTACTAACTATTTAATATATCATCAAACACAAAAGGATCATCCACACTATTTTCAAGTTTTAATTTAAGAATTTTATTTTATATTATTTAAGTTTTTATATGATTTGTAAATAGGCATATAATGGAAAAACGGAATTAACTTATTTTTTAGGAATTATATTAATGTTCTTCTATACATATTAGTATTGACATATATTTTTATTATCAGATAAAAAAATCCTTTTATATAGAATAGAAGCTTTTTAAATATTGGCATGTAAAAACTTTTAAGGTAAAATATATATTTGATATTTGATATTTATTTATAAAGCCCTCCTAATACATCAACACGTAGTTCATACTCTTATATATATATATATATGGTTATTTATGAAGCACGAACGCTAATACAATAAGAATACTCCAATTTTGAATCCTATAGAGTGCAATTTTTCCTTTCATTGGAAAATGAGGTCAAATCAATGTTTGGCACAATTGGTCCGAACATATGCTTTTACGAAGTTTAAAGAATTGTTCAGAAACAAAGTAATAGTCTAATTTTCTACAAAACTGGAGTAAGAAAAGAAAAAGGTGAAATCTCTAATTCAAATGCAGTGATGTATTTCGCCATTCTGAAATCTGGAAAACTAGTTTCCAAGTTTTTCAATTTTTTTACTGAGTTTGGAAAATACATTTTTTTGATGTTTTTCATCATTTTTCTTTACAAATTTTTTTAACTATTTAAAAACGAAAAATAAAAATAAAATGTTGAATAGTACAGTATTCTTCTTTTATATGCAATCACTTTAATCGACATTAAACATTAAAATTATTTTCTTTTACATTTGTATATTCAGTATATTTTCTTTTATATATATATATATATGAGTTGATAAGTATAATTTTATCATGATAGTTTTAATTTTAATGGAATAAAAGTAATTTTTACATGTAGATTATAAAAAATATAAAATATTGAGATGACTATTATAAATTTATGGTTTCAATTTTCTATTTAAAATAGTTATAACTTGACGCATTTCTTTTTTTTCTTTTCTTTTCAAATGAACACATTTTTTAATTTTTCAAAGAAAATAGAAAACTGAAAATGAAGAATAAAACTGGAACTAGAAATTAATGAACATATCCTAACCGGTTTAGACCGCTTCCTTTGCATATCCAGTCCTCTACGTCAACCCAAACCTATGGCATTGTTGGGTCACCAAATTTGATCGGAAAAGCGGATCCGGTTGGATTTAATGACAACCCAAACCTATGGTACCTGTTACGTTTCCATGGATTTATTTATTTCCTTCTTGGGTATTCCTTTTAGATTGGGCCTGCCTTTACATAGATCGGCCTTACTTTGTTGGGCTGCAAATTGGTTTAAAGAAAAAACCTTGCTAAGTAAACTTCGTGCAGTGCCGGTTTAAAAAAAAAAAAAACGTTAAGTATATACTCCGTTTTACAACTTACAATCAATAAGGAATAGGAGAGAGGAAACACCGAGATGCCAATTTACAGTAAATTATAAATTAATCTTTTTCTTCAGAAACGAAATAATTAGTTTTTTTTCAACAATTAATTATTTCATCAGTATTGACGATACTTAATTTAATATTATTTATTCCTTAAAAGTCTTTTTTTTCTCAATAATCATTCTATATTTTTTATTTAATTTTTTATCTTTTATTTCTTAAAAAAATATTAAAATAAATTGAAAACGAACGAAAAATGATTAAGTTATTACAAAATTTAAAATACAGAAACTAAATAATTATCTTCTAAATCTAGCGGGACTAATTTATAATTTATTTGCCAAATTAACTCTCAAAGCTAGATAAAATTCGGATAAGATCATAATAGACCCAATCTGATTTGTTTAATAAAATGGATTGGATTGAATTTTATCAATTCATATTTGGTTTTGAACCCGTAAATTTGGATTTGGATCCTAACAAACTCGGATCATATTAGAATCTCCATCGGATTTATCACTTGATTTTATAAAAAATTTATGTTTACTATATTTAATATATTGTTTAAATATAAAATATATTTCAACCACTATATGTATAATAAAATATATTAAGATAATATTTCATATATTAATTTTGTGATAACTTCAAAATGCCAAGATATTTAAAAATACAAAATCAAATAATTTTAATAAAAGTTTATCTTGAACTAGATAGAAAGTAGCTAAAGAGCTTATAGCCTAGTGCTAGTTTTCTTTTGTAAAAAGGTACGGATTCAAATACTAGCAGACTAGTTCTATTAGAAGCCTCGAGTGTGTGTGTTTAGTGTGTAAAAAAAAAAAAACTAGATAGGAAGTATGATAAAACTAAAAAAAAACATATAATAAATAATTTTTATTTTTTGTCTCTATAGTAGCAAAAAATATAATAACATCAATTCTTAAAAAAGTATATAAGTCAATTTATAATTTGGTTTTTATGAAATTAATTAAGAAAATAATAAAAAAATTATATGTGATTTTTTTAAAAAGTACAATCATCTTACTATAGAACAATATGCGTTATATGAATTTTATAATAAATAAAGTTTAAATTTTACCTTAATTTCATCTTTATATATATATATATATATATATGCTGAAATGAAATGGGTTGAATTATTATTGGATCAAATAGATCAAATTTTATCTATTTAATAAATGAATTAATAGATTTAGATAAAAAAATTATTTACTGGATTTATTTAATTACATTAGATTTAGATGAAATTCGGGTTAAAGATCAATCTATTTACAGACCTTAACCAAAACTCTCTGGAAAAAAATATAAATAAATTATAATAATAGCCAAAACTCTAACATGCTAGTTCTATTAAGAGCCTTGAGTGATAACGTTCTTTTGTAAAAGTTATGGATTCAAATACTAACAAATTAGTTCTATTAAGAGCCTCGAATGTATTTGTTGGGTGTGTAATTTTTTTTTTTTTTAAATAGATAGAAAGTATGATAAAACTAAAAAAAACATATAATAAATAATTTTTATTTTTTGTCTATATAGTTACAAAAAATATAATAACACCAATTCTTGAAAAAGTATATAAGTCAATTTATAATTTTTTTTTACAAAATTAATTAAGAAAAAAAATATATGTGAATTTTTTAAAAATACAATCATCTTACTATATAACAATATGCGTTATATGAATTTTATAGTAAATAAAGTTTAAATTTTAACTTAATTTCATCTATATATATATATATGCTGAAATGAAATGGGTTGAATTATTATTGGATCAAATAGATCAAATTTTATCTATTTAATAAATGAGTTATTAGATTTAGACTGTAATCAGATTTAGATAAAAAAAAAAAATTTATTTACTGGATTTATTTAATTACATTAGATTCGGATGAAATTCGGGTTAAAGATCAATCCATTTACAGCTTTAACCAAAACTCTCTGGAAAAAAATATAAATAAATTATAATAATAGCCAAAACCCTAACAACTTTGAAGTTAAACCCCAATAATTCCCACTCATCCAGCCGTTTCTGTCTTCAATCAAACAAACCTGGAAATGGCCTTCAACTCAGTAATTCGCCGAGCCTGCAAATCCTTCTTGCCTCTCGCTATCCGCACCGTCGGATCTCCCAGAACTTTCCACAGAGCTATCTCCACCGTTCTCTCCGTTGAAAACCACACCAATCTACAAAAGTTCCTTCCATTTTCACATTTCTCAACAGCAGTCACCGGACAGAAACCGACCGCCGATGAGAATTTGATTCGAGTCCTCGAAACTGAGATCGAATGCGTCGAGGAACCCCACGATGTCAGTTTTTTCTCCTTTTTTCTTTTTCCTTAACTTTAATAATCGATTTAGTTAACCTTTATCTGCCTATTCTGAGTTTTGTTCTTCTTTTATGCTATGATTTTTTGTTAATTATGCTTAACATAAATTATTTAGTCCTTTAATTTAGTGGTTTAGAATTTTGTCTGCATAATACTCTGTTTTTCTTTGTTTAACTTGAGAGGAATTTTACTTGTTGTCTTTTTTTTCCCCTTGTTTCTTGAATCTTCAAGCTATGTGCTGGTAGAGAATAAATTCTGAAATCTTATGAGAAAAAGAAAACCTTTTTTTTAATTAAAAAAACCTTTTATTGATGAATAAACAGGTAGAGAATATCCCAAATGAATTTCCTTTCAAAATTGAAGATAATCCCGGAGAGAGGACCATTTCGCTGAATAGAAAGTTTCAAGATGAAACTATCAAAATTGAGGTTGACATGCCTAATGTAACTGAAGAAGAAGAAGATGATGACGACGACAATGCCAAGGAATCGGATGCTTCTAGCATTCCGTTGGTTGTGAGTATTACCAAGGGCAGTGGTCAGTCTATGGAGTTTGGTATCACTGCTTTCTCTGATGAGATCACAATTGATAGCTTGTCAATTAAAAACCCAGAAAGCTCTGATGAACTTGCATATGAAGGACCAGATTTTAAGTAAGTTTACTATGTGTACTGTCTAATATTTTAATCCTTGGTTGGATTTGTATTCATTTCTGACTTGTTTTTTCTTTGCAGTGATTTGGATGAGAATTTGCAGAATGCGTTCTACAAGTATCTCGAGATTAGAGGGATCAAACCTAGCACAACAAATGTTTTGTTCGACTACATGGCCAACAAAGACAACAAAGAATACTTGCTATGGCTGAAGAACCTCAAGAATTTTGTGGAGAAGTAAGACTTTGGACGAGAAACAACTATTTATGGGGTGGCCGGTTTAGACGGCTGATGGCGAAATCTGCGTACTGTACTGATTTAGTTTTTCTTTTGAAATGTTTTACTTCTGGACTTTGGTCTTTTTTTAGACCTGCCAAGGATAAGAAAGGGCAGATATGTGGGAGTTCTATTTTTTAAAACTATTCTCAAGTGACAGATGTGAGATCCAAAATTGATTCATGGTTTGGTGATCTAACTATTCCTTTAGACATGTTCCTTTATCTCACAGTTTTTGTTAGCGATAAGTAAGCAAACAGGTAGTAAAGTTGGTCTTGATTCACACACAATCTTGTTACAGAACTGATGAGGTGCTGCCAAAAACTTTGAAATCGATTTACATGTTTTATAGTTGGTACATTGAGTAGTTAATATGAATCTGTCCTGGAAAATTTCAATCCAAGGATTTTTTCGAAAGTGAATTACTGAAGAAAAATTAGTAAGATTTAGCATTACTTTTTTTTTTTCTCTGTCGCAAATGACATCAGCTTAATTCTCAGCCTTGATAAAGCTTTCATTTACCTCAAGGAACTGGCCATGTCCATAAATATTTTCCTCCTTGCTTAATCCTGCAATTAAAATCATTGATATAAGATCGTCATAGCTTTCAATTAAACTGCTCTCCCAAAATAGTTTTAAAAGAACTTATCCAGCAAGATCAGGAGGTTTGAAGGAAAGGTGGATTCTGATAGAAAATTAATATGGTAACCTATGAGGACTGGACTGTGATGTTCCTCACCTGAAGCCTTCTTGATCATCCCCAAAAATCAGATAAAGGATGAAAGATTAGTAGCATTACTTAACAATCAATTAAGATGAAGAAGCGTGTCCAGAGTCATACCAAATGATGACAGCAGGGACAACAGCATAAGCTTCACAGACTGTTGCATTAACTTTAGCACTGATCATACCACTTCTTCCCACCCAATATTTTCCCCCATGATTCTCTCTGGCATGCATATGGATTAGCTATGGGTCGGATCACTTGACCAACCACATCTCTCAACATTAACGTAAAAGTTGACCCTTAGTGGTAGAGTCAATAGACCTGCCATCCGAGAACATGCACCAATAATCTGCATTAGAAAAAGAGGGCGTCAGCATTAGAAAGGAAAAAAAAAAAAAAAAAAAAGACAAACTTTCTCACAGAATTCAGACATATGACAGCAAAGAGAAGCACAATTAATAGTCCAGGTACAATCAACTTGAACTGTAACAGACTAACAGTAATGTACTTGACCATACAAGTCCTGCATAGAGTTAATTCTTTAGTTTGACACCAGGGTTAAGACCAATTAATAACATTGTTGTCAGCTGCATTGAACATCTATCTCCATGAAATTCTACGCACAAAATCATAATGACGAATAATAATAGCATCCAGAAAACTATAACAAGCAGAGCCCAACCAGCTGCAAAATTTACCTGTGCTGTGTGCACCTAGGGTGCAAATATTGTTTTTCATTTGATAAGAAAAAAGAAAAACCATTAGTGTCCTTTCCAGAATTCCAGCGGTTCCACATTCACCAACATTTCACTTGTAAAAGGTGGAGCTCTTGTAGTAACTTGAAAACCTAACCAGAGAACAAACCGTTCTTGACATTCACTTTGACCATGTATTAAATTTCCTTTCAATTGAAGTACTCTAAAATCTAGAACAAACCCCCTAAGTTAGAATGAAAACCAAACTTTATTTACTCATATTCTCATCAAGAATGTTAGATTGCCCATCAATTGTGGATAAAAAAAATTCAAAAAATCTGCAAGGTGTGATGACAAACATTCAGCACCTACCAATCTTAGAGGTGCAGCTCATATCCACGCTCACGAATATGAGCAGTCAATAAGAGCAATACTGGATCAATCAGCCTGGCTTCAGGATGGGTTCGGTCACCGTTAATAAAAGTATTCATGCCGTTCTTGAGTTCAATCCAGCTACATCCTGGTGTCTTCTTCATATCTCGTTGCCTCATTGTATGTCTAATGTCTAACACTTCCTGATATCGACCAGCTGCCACATAAGCATTTGACATCAATATGTAGTTACCACAATGCGCAGGATCGAGCTCGAATACTTTTTGTGCAGCAACCTCAGCAAGATCTACATTACCATAGAGCTGACATGCTGCCAGCAAAGCCCTCCATACAACTGGATTAGCCTCAATAGGCATTGTTATGGCCAACTTATAGGCTTCCTCAAGCTGTCCAGCTCGCCCAAGCATGTCAATAACACAAGTGTAATGCTGAATGGTTGGAACCACACCATGTTTCAACTCCATTTCCCTGAGAAATTTACGCCCTTGGCTTATAAAACCTGCATGACTGCAAGCTAACAAAACTCCCACAAATGTGATCTCATTGGGCTTAATTCCTGCCTTGCACATTTCTGAAAACATATCTAACGCCTCATTGCCATAACCATGCATACCATATCCCATGATCATTATATTCCATGATGCTGTGTCCCTCCTGCTCATGTTAATAAACACCATGCCAGCATCTCTCATACTCCCACATTTAGCATACATGTCCATAACAGCATTAATAGTTTGCAAATTGTACATATTTTCACTCTCACCATCCTTAACAAACCCATTAACAATCATGTAGCCATGAATCTGTCTACCATGCACCAGTGCAGCCAGATGAGAGAATGCAGGAAGAATGGTAGTAATTGTTACCAAATCAGGCCGAACCCCATCACCTAACATTCTATCAAACAACCTCAAAGTTCCATCATGATCACTGCACTGCTTATTAGCGGATAAAATTGAATTCCAAGAAAATAAATCCTTCTCATTCATTGTTTCAAAAACTTGTAATGCATCAACAATACACCTGCACTTCCCATACGTATCAATCAATGCATTGCAAACTGAAACACAAGAATCAAAGCCCATTTTTATCATGAACCCATGAACCACCCTTCCATTATTGAAATCCTCCCTCGCAGCAAAAATTGGCAAAATCCCACTAACAGTAAACTTACTCATCAGAATCCCTTCTCGACTCATTTCCCTGCAAACCCCCAACGCCTCGTTGAACCGACCAATCTGTGCATACCCATTAACGATGGAACTCCACAATACGACATCCCTTTTAGGCATTTCATCGAACAACTCACGTGCCTCTTCCATTAACTCAAGCTTCAAGTAACTACTGGTCATAGCACTACCCACATACATATCCAAATCTAAACCAAGTTTAAAAACTAACCCATGAATCTTTTTCACCTCAGCAACCTCTATAAACTCACAAAGCCCTTTAATTAAACATGGAAACGTATACTTATCCGGCAAAACCCCTGCCTTTCTCATTTCCTTATAAACTTCCAATCCGTCTTTTGGCAACCCATTTAAAACAAACCCTGAAATCAATGCATTATATGCAAAAACATTACGAGCATAATCCGCATTGTGGTTAAAAACTAAAAGGGCTTGGTTCATTTGGTTGCATTTAGCATACATGTTGATGAGACTAGTGGAGGATGAGGCTGAGGAGGAGTTAAGGCCAGTGGTGAGCAATTGGGCATGAATTTGTTGACCCTTTTTGAGGTTCTTGTTAATAGCACATTGTTGGAGAGAAGCATTAATCCAGGTAGTGAGATTGTATCGTGGGTTTGCAGAAGATAATGAGGTAGAGAAGCTGAGGACAGTGGAAGTAGGGGTTTTGGAGAAGAAGGTTCTTTTCAGCATTTGACATGAATTTCAAACCCAAAAGCCGAGCAAGAAACAGTCCGCCAAAAACAAAGCTTTATCAGTGAGTGAGTGAGTGCGAGACAGGATGAGACCAGACGCTTGAAATTCTTGGCAAAATTGCCGTAACATTTTTGTCAAGACTTGCGCTCCAGAGCATGTTACGTCCCGCGACATCAAGACAAGATTCTGGAGGTTAAAAGAATGCTATATAAATTCGAAAACTTTTAAAAGTCTCTAAAACATCAGAGAAGGCACTAAGCTATTCAAGAAAAATGTAGGCATGTCCTAAATAAGTTTTAGATCGTCATCCTCTATTTCATGGAAGATGATGTTCTATAGTGGCGCATGAGTACCAACAGCTGAAATACGGAAATTGTGAGCTGCCTAGTCAGACTGAGTTCAAAATAGTTGTCTATGCCTAGTTCTATTCAGAAAAGACAGTTTGGAAAACACGAGACGCGCTACCAACCTTGAAGCACGCGAGAATCATTCACGAATATGTTAGAAAATATTCGCTCTTTAAATTTAAGATACTTGACAAATTTGATTATGATAATATGTGTATATATGATTTTATTAAAAGACTCTAAACATCGGTTGAATAAGAGGTGTGAGTTCAATAAGGGATGTGTAAATGATTCGGTTAATCGAAAATCAAATCAAACTGAATCATATTAAATTATTTGGTTCGGTTTTAAATTTATAATTTACTATTTATAACCGAACCGAAAAATCAAAATTTATTTCGGTTCGGTTTTTTAAAAAAATTTCGATTCAAACCGAAAACCAAAATTTATTTCTAAATTTCTATTGCTGATTTCGAGTGTTTTACTAATTTCCGATTTCTCTTCTCATTTCTAATTCCAAAATCCAAATAGTCAAATACCAAAATACCAAATCGGCAAATCCCTAACCCTAAGTCCCTCGCTGCCATCGCCTAGCTGCGTCTAGCCGTCTAGGCGTTCTCTCTCACTCTTAGACTTGGCATGTACTAATGTACTATTATACTCGGTTGTTTGGAGTTGGAAAGAGTTTTCCGTTGTAATGTCGTGGGCATATTCTCTATAATGTCTCCGTTGTAATGTTGTAATGTTTGGAGTTGGAAGAAGTTATGGTCAATCCTTTCTTGTGGCTAGTGAATTGAGTAATTAGATGACTTATGTAAAGTTGTATTTGCTAGAATATATACAAGTGAGCAAGTGGCGATAGGCCTACGGTCGTGCAGCAATAGGCCAACTAAAAGAATTATTGAAATTAATTCAAATGAAAGAAAAAAATCTGTTGATAAATGAATTCCAATTTGTTGACCATTACTTACCAAATCTTGCTCTATAATCTAGTTTGCTCTTGTAGTCCAAATAATCCCATATCATGTTGTATATGGAATACTAGTAATTAGTAAAACAAAAAGACTTGTACGAACTAGGGAAGTAAGATCGTTCTCAACGATCCAACAATCGTTATATTTCTCAAAACAAACGAAAATGAAACGAAAGATGAAACATAAATCATGGATCAATTAAGCCTTCTCGGAGACTTGCTTAAGAATAAGAAAGAGGTAAATACCATGGAAATATGGAATAAGGTTTGATCCTATTTATGGGGATTCCGTAAATATTCCATTCCAAAAAAAAAGAGAAAGTTCGAAACAATTGGAATTTTTTAGAGATTGGATGCAATTACTAATTCATGATCTAGCATGTATAGAATGAAAACTTCATTCTCGATTCTACGAGAATTTTTATGAAAGCCTATCGCGGCGGGCGAGTAGGCTCATCGTCGACGCCCGTAGACCTACCGCCTTGGTGCCTCCCTGCCTAGCTAGATTGTTTTTTTTTTTTTTTGGCTTAAGCTTAAGGAGTAAAGACTAAGGAGTGTGAACTGTGAAGTTTAATAACTCTTTTTTCTATGTTTTTATGTAGATGTCGCAATCTCAATCCATAGAGATGAATTGTGAAACTGTGGATTCAAGCAATCCTAATCCATAATCAAATGCAACTCCAAGTAACACTCAAGATGGTGGCAAAGGAAAGAAGAGGAAATAAATGAAGCCAAGATCGATGGTGTGGGATCATTTCATAAAGTTTGAAGATGACAAGAAAAACATGAAGGCTAAATGTAACTATTGTGATAAGGTATTTGCTTGTGATCCTTCGAAAAATGAGACAACTTCACTTAGGTATCATGTTTTGACTTGCAAAAAAAACCCTTTTAATTGTATTGACTCTACCCAAACTCAATTAGACCTAAGAAAGCTTGAAGTGGGAGAAAACAATCTTACCACATGGAAGTTTGATCAAAATGTTAGTAGAAAAGATTTAGTTGAAATGATCATTATAGATGAGCTTCCTTTAAGCATATAGAGGGCAGGGGATTCAAAAAGTTTTTGTCTAATTTGCAACCTAGAGTCAAGCTTCCATCTCGTTTTATAATTTCAAGAGATTGCTATCAAATTTATTTAGATGAGAAAATAAAGTTGAAGCAATTTTTGAAATAAAATAGTCAAAGAATTAGCCTTACTACGGACACATGAACATCTATTCAAAGAATCAATTACATATGTTTAACGGCTCATTTTATTGATAATGATTGGAAGTTGCATAAAAAGATCTTGAATTTTTGTCCGATTCATAGTCATAAAGGGAGTAGATTTAGGTATTGCCATTGAGAAATGCTTGATTGATTGGGGAATTGAGAAGGTTTTTAGTGTTACGGTTGATAATGCGAGTTCAAATGATATGAAAATTAGGCACTTAAAAGATGTGATTAAGAATTGGGGTTATAGCATCTTAGATGGTGAATTCATTCGTATGAGGTGTATAGCACATACTTTGAATCTAGTTATTGTTGATGGGTTAAAACATTTTAATCCTTCAATCGTTCGTATTCGATCGGGCATTAGGTTTGTGAGACAATCTCCGGCTAAGTTGAAAAGATTTAAGGAATGCATTCAACTTGAGAAAATTGATTTTAAGAGTTTGTTACAACTAGATGTTGCTACTAGGTGGAATTCAACATACTTGATGTTAGAGTCGGCTCTAAAGTTTGAGAGAGCTTTTAAGAGATATAAGCAAATTGATCCTTTATATAGGAGTGAATTTGATGTAGATCATGGTGATAATGTTGTTGGGCCACCTAATGTTGATGATTGGAAGTCTTGTAAGAAGTTAGTGGGCATGTTAAAAATTTTTTACAATCTTACTTTACGTATTTCGAGTTCTTTGTATGTGACTTCAAATATTTATTTTGAAGAGATTTATGCTCTCGAACATGTTTTGAAAAAATGGCAACAAAGTGGGGATTTAGATGATTTTACGTTGGCCAATAAAATGAAAGAAAAGTTTAAGAAGTATTGGGAGGATATTAAGAAAATGAATAAGTTGATTTATATTACGACAATACTTGATCCTATGCATAAACTTGTATTTATTGAATTTTCAATCAATGAATTGTATGGTGATTTAGAGGGTCAAAGAATGTCAAATATTGTCAAAGAATCTATGTATGTTATGTATGATTTCTATTGTCGTTCGTCAACATCTCAAGGTGAAATTGGCCAAGGTAGTGAGAGTCGAGAAATAGATGTGGATTGTGCAAATGAAGAAATGATTGATGAAGAAGAAATTAGAATAAAAAGGAAGATAATGATGCGTTTTGAAAAATACAAGTGTGATATTAGAGGTAGAGGAAATAAAACGAGAGTTGGATAAATATCTTAGTGAAGGTGCTGAAAATAACGGTGCTGATTTTAATATTTTAAAATGGTGGAAAACCAATTCTCCTCGGTTTCCCATCCTTTCACAAATGGCTAGGGATATATTGACGGTTTTTGTTTCTACTTGTTTCCTCGAAATTGACTTGAGGAAGGGTTCTTGACTACTTTAGGAGTTCTTTGACTCCTAGCTTAGTGGAATCTCTTATATGTGCTCAAGATTGGATTAAAAATTCATCGACACCAATTATTATTGAAGAAAATTTATAAGATGTTGAGAAAATGCAAGATGGTAATTTTTATAACTCTTACCTTTTCATTTGTTATTTCTTTCCTTTATATTAATATTAAAATTTTAATTTTTTTATCTTATAATTTTCGGAGTTACCACTTGCCACTACCTATATTACAAATGATTGAATCTTGATAGGTTGATGACTTGATGGTGTTTTGACGTGATGAATGATATGTGTAAGTTACTAAGTTTCTATTTTCTAAGTTTGATTTTTTATTTCTATTGTTTGTGTAAGTTTAGTTAGTAAGTAGAATTGTAAATTTTCATTTTCATTGAACTAGAGAAGAGAACCATAGTAGGTAGTAGCCTATCGCCTAGTGCCTCGTGCCCACCGACGAGAGCCTACATCGATGGACGATGAGGCTTATCGCCTTGGTGTCTCATGCCTACCAACGAGTGGGTAGTAGGCCTAATGCTTTTGATTTTCGTAGCATGTTAATATCCTCTTTCGGGAGCATTGAGTATTTGTTGGGATTTTATTCTATTACGGATCCCGAAGGAGTGAAGGTATTGCAAATGCACGTAAATCATTTGTTTTAAGACGGGGAGAGAGCTCGTGTCTCGTCCTCTTTGTTGAGAAATGAGAACGGACATTCTACCATGCTTTTGTTGTTTAATGTCGATTACATTGTATGCTGAATGTTTGTTTCATCAATAATTATTTTGCTTGACTTATTTTCTTTTTCGATATATGAATGTTAAACATGTTGGGTGTTTAAATTTGACTTTAATTGTGAATTTTTTTCTTTTTGGTGTTGAATCCTTTTTAGAAAAGAAAGTGGTTACTTGTTAGCTCGGCATTGCTAATTACTCAGCTTAGGCAAAGAAAAAATAAATGGAAGTTTTGGGAGAACTGTCTAAAGTCCGAAACGGAGAAGTAATGAAAAAGTTTGGTTAAATCGAATTATTTCAAAACCGAACCAAAATAATTTGGTTACAAACCAAATTAACCAAATTAATTTTGGTTTAGTTTTGGTTTTTATTTTTCCT